TCTAAATAATATATCAATCACTTACATTGCGCAATATTATAACAAAAGAAGTGTAATGAAGACTTGAGGAATCCCGCGGTGGGAGACGGAAATGTTTACGTTATGAGCGAGAACAATAATAAAAGTTACTCCGTATATTCTAATTATTATTATAATTAAAATAATAATAATAATAATAATAATAATAATAATAATAATAATAATAATAATAATAATTATTATTATTATATATTATTATTGTTTTTATTATTATTATTATTGTTTTTATTATTATTATTATTATTATTATTATTATTATTATTATTATTATTATTATTATTATTATTAAAGTTTATGAGGGGATAGGGTTGAAACATTTAGTCCAGCCCAACGTTTCAGTCCATCCTCCTGAATGAGAAGGTTGAGGGTAGTAAACCTCGACCCTTGGTCACGTGCCCCTTCATCACCAACTAAAACATCAACCAAAAACTCCAGCAGCGGAAGCAACACAAACTTAATACGAGCAACACAATCCCTCTTGCAGCCATAAACAACATCCCTCTACCCTCCCCCCCCCCCGGCTCCAGAAATACCAAACGATCAAAAAAAAAAAAAAAAAAAGGAAAATCTGAATTATCTAATCAGCTCACCGAAATTTCCCACGATACTGGGGGAGGAAGGGGAAAAAAAGAATCCCCCCCATGTTAAGAGTTTAAAGAAGAGAAGAAGAAAATGATGCCTTGAGTAGATGAGGCAGCATTCCGTTAAATTCAATTAGTTCAGGTGCTGCCTGAGGCTGTCATCCACTACAATGAATGTAATTATATGATAACTTTATGAAATAAACGCCGCACTCGTCAGCTGCATGACGGCTCCCAATGTTATCGCCATGGTCGAACCTTTTCTAAAAAATTGGCGTTGCAATTTCGCGGTTTTCGTCCGGCTGTAAGTCAACTATGGTATCGTGTGTGTGTGTGTGTGTGTGTGTGTGTGTGTGTGTGTGTGTGTGTGTGTGTGTGTGTGTGTGTGTGTGTGTGTGTGTGTGTGTGTGTGTGTGTGACTGAGTGACTGAATGCGTGCGTGTACTCACCTGTTTGTGTTCACCCATTTGTAGTTGTAGGGGTCGAGTCTCAGCTCCTGTCCCTATCTCTTAACTTGTCTCTTTCTAGGTTTTCTCCTTCGTAGCTTCTTGGACCTTTTCATGCCCATTCTTAAAACTACGTATGCTGCCTGCCTCTAATAAATCTTCTTCCCGGTTATTTCCATTTCCTGATAACCCTGCGGTTAGCTCTCAAATGTTCCCTTGACCACCCGTTTCCCGCCTCTCGTATAATCTATCCCTGTAGACCCTAATAAGTTATCTGAGTATTTTGTATGTCGTCATCATGTCTGCCCTGGTTCTTCTAACCTCTAATATCATCAGATTCAGTTCCTTTAGCGTTTCTTCACAGCACATTCCCTGTAGCTCTGGGACTAGTCTCGCTGCATACCTCTGCTCGTTCACCAGGTTATTATTGTGTGAAGGCTCAAAGGTTCTTCCGCATTTTCCAAGATGCTCCTGATATATGCCGTAAATATTATAGGGAATAATACAGTTGAGGTTCCTGAAAGTTGCTCTTAGATTTAGTAAGCGAACATTCGCTGTAGAAATTATATAGCTGACGTATGTCTCTGGCAATATGCTCAGGACTCTGCTCACCCCTTTGCTTTTCTACTTTTAGTGAAGTTTGAAGCCTCTTTCTCTCGAATCTTTACTCAGTTACCTGTATTCTTGCCTCCTCCCCACTTTCCGTAGTCTTGCACATGGTAGTGAATTCCAGTAGTCACCTTGCTAACCAATATTGCTGCTTGTCCTACCACATTAGTAGTCTTTCCTTCTCTTTTTTTTTCTCCTCATTAATTTTACACAATCTGTAAAGAGTGATATTTCTAACTCTATATCTTCTAGCATATTTTTTTTTTTTTGCATATATCATAAGCTGATAATGGTCCAGTACCGATCTCTGTGGAACCCCACTTTTCACATCTCTTCTCGGACATTCCCCCTTGTCACCTTCCTGTAAGGTATTATTTGATCACTATAAAGCGTTTTCTGTTATTCCTGCTTGCGAGATACAGCAACAAATGCCTTCTTGCAGTCCAAGAATATGTAATCCACACATCTGTCCGTTTCTCTCTTGTCTCATTTCATTTACTTGTTACAGAAATCCCACCAGAACGTAAGACAAGATTTGCCATTTGTAAATCTCTTCTCCCAGATTCTTTGGTGTAGCCCTTTATTTTACTCCGCTCTTGTTTCAGTTAATCTAGTCTCCGTGATTCCTATGATATCTAGAATTACCTCTAAAATCTCTCTTTTGCAAGTCATCACATTTGCTTGATAATCCATTTGCATTTGTACTCTATACTTAAAGCTTTATCTCTTTACTATGTTTTTTCTCTTTATTATGCTTTCTCTTCGCTGCTCGTATGTAAGAAGGGATGCGAACTGTTACAGTGGGAGGGGTTAGTGTTCCATTTG